CAGGATCCTGGGAGATTACTTTGTCCAAAAACCAGGCTTTCTTTCCAGCAAGACAGTTTTTGCTACAGATTTATTTTACGCAAAATTTCTTATTGCAAACCTGCTTGTTTATGATTTTGGAACAGTGTAGCTGCAAACACAGCAGGCATAAAAGGGTGCACGACCACCTACATTCCTCCTTCACTGCCGGTGAGCTCAGTGCTTGAACTCTTTGAAGCAGACTGGTGTTCTCTTTCCTCTGTCCACCACTTTGTCTCTCATTCTTTCCCTGCTTTTCTCCATTTCCTCTCTTTTCTTTCTTTTTCTTTCTCTTTTTCCTGCCTTCTTTTACTCAGTTCTTTAGTGGCCATTTCCTAAATTTGATAGGGAAGTAATACTGGTGCCAAAGTATTCTTGATCCACATCATTCATTGTTATTAGAAAGTTGCCCAATCTTGCCTTGAAATAGTTAATTGTTTTTAGAAAGTTGTGTAATTTTACATCAAGTAGTTGACTGCCTGTTGTTAGAAAGTTCATTAAGTCCTTTCATACTATTCCTCTAATAAATTGCCTTGTGTTATTCCTCTGAGTCACTGTCTGACTCCGCTGTGCCAGCAACGCCTGCCAAGCAGGGAGCGCCCTGTTTGGGAGACGGGACAACTCCACCTTCCTCCCCATCTACAGAGAGGGATGGCAGAAGATGAGCACCTTTCTCCTTCAGCACAGCAACACCAGGCCCATAGCAGCGAAAGCCACGGCACACCATGCCAGTCCTGGTTGGACTGCGCTTCCACACCCACCACGCAGTCCGGATTTGGCACCTTCCGCCTGTCATCTGTTCAGACCGATGAAAGATGGGCTGACTGTGTGGGCAACGGTTTCCTAGCAACAACGCCGTCACAGCAGCTGCAAAAAATCTGCTGGTGCAGATTTTTACGAGCGTAGCATGCAGGCTCTTGTTAATTGCTGGCGAAAATGCATAGGTAATGGAGCTGACTACTGAGCTGAGTTGAGGAGTATTTTGTAGCTGAGAATTTGCTCCACCAGACAGTGTTACTGCGTGCTTTGTATCTATTACAGTTCCAATGGAAATAAAAAGGAGGTACAACTTTCAGAGCGACCTACCTATCGCTATCACCGCTATCACTTCATTCTTCCTCTCCTCTCTTCCTTCTCTCTCACTCAACAGCTTTTGTCCCCCGCCACGCGCTCCTCTTTGCTTCCGACACCCCCGATGCGCTTCGGACCCGCAGCGCCGCGCTCACCGGGGGCCCCGCACTCACCGACCGAACCCGCACGCACCCACGGCCCCGCTCGCCGCTCGAACATCCCCGCTCACCGCAGCTCCGTCCGCGCGCTCCGCACGGTGCCGCAGCCGCCCCGGACGCCCCCAGCGCCGCCGCCGCCGCCCCGCCCCGCGCGTCCCCGCGAGAGGAGCTGAGCCCGGTCCGGCCCCGCGGCCGCGAGAGCTCGGGGGGCGTGGGAAGGTCGGGAGGAGGGCGGAGGAGACGCTGCGGCGGGGGGTGGAGGGGGAGTTTGGGAGGCAGCGCTCCTTTTCCCGGTGGACGATGCTGCTGAGTCTGGTGAACTCACAGCGACTGTATTTCAGCGGCAAAGGAAGGACGAGAGGAAATGGAGCGGCACGGGGAGCGGAGACCTCCAGGATTGTGTTCGGGGCCACAAGAGCTATGGCAGCGTAACGAGGACAAGAAGAGCTGCTCGTCTTCTAGCAACGGACGTCTGCTGCTTGAAAGAAAAAGGGTTCAGTATGGCCTCACGTGGTGCTGCTTTCCTGTTTGCAGCCAGCCCAGAGACTGCATCACCAGAAACCAGGATGGGGAGAAATCACTGGAATTGGGGAAGGCACCCCACAAGTCCAAAGGGCAGCAACGACGAGCCTGCAGCCTGTGCTCTTGGGTACCAAAGCACGTTTTCTCCATGGAACAGTGCCACTCGGAAGCAGAAATCCCAAAAAGACATCCAGGATTTGCTACTAAGGGAATCAGTCCAGTTATGGCACAAAGCGCTGCACCCAAGAGAGAGGACGAAGCAGAGGAGGAAGAAATAAAATCTGAAGAGGGTGTTCTGATAAATGGCTCAATTGCAGTCACAGCCACGATGTGAAATTGAGTATGATTAATAGCCACGCGAAGGATGTTTCCTGGATGCTGTGCATATGACAGCCATGGATTTGGCTGCCTGCTGTGGCATAGGTTGCTTTAAAGCCCTTTTTTTTTCTTTTTTTTTCTTTTTTTTTTTTTTTTCTCCAGAGGCAGGGTACAATGAAACAGCACCTCTTATCATGGGGATAAATAAGTAAAAATAAACCAAGACACATGCAAGTCATGCGAGTCAGCACATCAGGGCTCGCCTTCAGCACATGATCTTGGACTTTTCCCAGCATTTGAAAATGACTTGGTGACACTCCTCTGCCTGGCTGAGGTGCTGCTCTGACACTGGCATTCTGTGTTAGCTGTGAGGACTTCAGCAGCTCCCCTCCAAGAAATGCAGCTACGTGGCCCTCCAGCAAGAGGCTTACAGTATTAAGGACTTTGAAGAGCTCCTCACCAGTGAGCTCTCTCCATCCTTCCACTTCTGACTGTCTCTAACCAGTTCTGTCTTTGAGTGCTGAGCGAGGACAGCAGTCCCGTCCATCAGTCCTGGTCTCACCCGCCCTGTGCTGGCTCCTCTGGAGGATGACTGTGTGCATGCGCTCAAGGTTCAAGGTGCAGATCTCCAATCCACGAGCCCAGCTCACTGTCTCTAAGATCTCAGCTCTCTGCTCCTAGACAGAGACAGAGAGGGCTCATTTCAGCTGCCCGCATAAAGCCATCCAGCAGCATTTCCACCATATTATCACTGAGGCGTCTTCTCCATCAAGCTGCTGGATAATAAGGACACAAATGCTGTAGGAGAGCATGCAAAGCAGCCCACAGCCTAGCAGGTAACATTAGAATACCTTAAAAATGGAGTGTCAGCTCATTTGCACCCCATATACAGCATTTTCCAATGCCCTGATTATCAGGAGATGATGGATGATTTTGCTCCATTGGTGTATCTGCGTGAGAAAACCTTCAGCATTCCTGTCTGAGCTGCACATGAGTTCTTCATGCTCTTACCATCCAGAAATTCCAAAGGCAACTCCTATCAGAGTGCCTGTGACAGTAGGGCTAGATGCCCACTCTGAGGGAGGAAGGAGACCAGGGGGTTGCTGGAAGGAAGATGCTGGCACTGCAGGGAGGGCAGGTTGGTGCCCGTATTCCCATTCCCACCATAGTTCTGGGAGCAGCTCCCTCCCACCCCCTGCCCATGTCTCTGCTGCCTGCAGCTGTTTCTCCATCCCCGTGTCCTCTCCCTGCACTTGATCCCAGTCATTGTGTGCTCAGCTCTGCCCTGCAGACCCCTCCTGGTAGCAGGACACTGCCCAGGGACATCAGTGTGTGCAGGTACTGAGGACCAGGTCACAGCGACCCTGGTGGCACTGGACACAGGGTGACAGTGCTCTCTATAGGCTGAGTGATAGTAAAGGAACTTGCTATGGATTCTGGTAAACATTACTGTGATGCTTCAGAAGTCTTTGCCTTTCCTTAGAAATAAAAGCCTACATGCTTATTCACAGGGAGAAAAGCAGCAAAAATTGAAAGCAAATAATGGGAAGTCAGAAGTGGATAATGGGATCATCTACCTTTAGAGACACCCCCAGGACACTCACCTTCTGCCAGCAAAGACTTGTCCTGTTAATAAACGTTCTTCATGCAGACAGATCTGTGCATTCTAATGCTTCACACAACCGGTAACATCTCACTTCCCTTTCTCCAACGACACCCGCAGGCCATGCCCCCAGCCCTGCTGTGTGGAGCTGAGGATCTGCTCCTGGGTAGAGCTGTCTCTCTGGAGCACTGCCCACTTACCAGCACCTCCCTGCATCCCTGGAGCCTGGCTCAGCTCAGCTCAGAGGCACAGTCTGAGGATTCACTTGCTCTGCCACCCACCAGACTCCCTGCAGATGTTCCTGGGGCTCCAGGGCTCGCAGCTCCCAAAAGACAGCAGGGCCTCTCCTGGGGAACACACGCATTAAGGCGTGCTGAAGGAATCACTGACTGCCCCTCACGCACTGGCTCCTAGAGTAGGAATTGCCCTGCTGTGGTGTGCTGCTTTGTCTATGGGAGGGGACCACGTCCCTCCAGTAACTCTCCATCCCTCTCTCACTGTCAGACAAGACTCTGGGGCAGCGACAGGCTGGGATCACTTCCCTCATGCAGGGCAGGGAATCAGAGCACTCAGTGCAGGCATCTCAGCTCTCATAAGTAGCCTGAGTGTGCAAAAACAAACACTCAAAAAAACTCAAAAAAACACTGAGGATGGAGGGGGATTCAGCCGTGCACCTCACAGATCCACAGCAGGTGGGATTCTTCTCGCCTCAGCTCAGAGCGCACAAAATAGGTGCAAGCTCATTGTCTGAGCTGCCATGAAATGGGCTGCCATGAAGAACGTTAGCTCCGTCCCAGCCAGACCAAGAACGAGTGCGCTTGCTCAGAGGAGGTGTGGCCTTTTGGCCTGGGTGCAGGGAGGGGAGAAAAAGACAAAAGTGAGGACAAGAAGCTGAAAGGGCACAGAGGGAAATTCCCATTCGTTTTAAGGGGAAAATCATCACCACAAGTGGGCATCGGTACTGGGTGAGGGGAAAGTACCTGATCTCACTGTCAAGCTGCCCCTGTTCAGAGCAGACCACGGTGCTCCAGAGGACCCTTATGATCCACTGCCAGGGCAGGACATAGGAGGCAGGGAAATTGGCCATTGCTGTGCACTGAGGCATCTCTGGTTTCTGTAATCCCTGCCTGGGCCTCTCCTCAGAACTCCACAGTGAATGCGTTCACTATCAAAAGAAAGTCTTCTTTTCCTTATCGACTGAAGGACCACTGAGTGTGGGCATATCACAGGAAATCTCTCATACACACTGTTGGGTATCAGAGAAGAACGGAAAAGCAAGCATTGGAAGAGGCCTCTGGAGACTGTTGAGTTTAGGCCAATCTTTGACAAGTGGCGTCTTTCTCACACTCAGGACACTTGCAGTGTTTGCCTCCTGTGGGGATGTGCTGGTGGGAGCTGAGGTCAGAATTGCTCCTGAAGCTCTCCTCACACTCACAGCATTTGTAGGCTTTCTGTGCTCTGTGGGTACGCTGGTGAATCACGACTTGGGAACTGCTTCTGAAGGCTTTTGCACACTCGGGGCACTTGTAGCGTTTTTCTCCTGTGTGGATGCGTTGGTGGACCATGAGTTGAGACTTGCTTTTGAAGCCCTTTGCACACTCAGGGCATTTGTAAGGTCTTTCTCCAGTGTGGATACGCTGGTGGATCATGAGTTGGTAACTAGTTTTATAGTCTTTTGCACACTCAGAACACTTGTAAGGTCTTTCTCCTGTGTGGATACGCTGGTGACATTTGAACTCAAAACTGCTTTTGTAGCCCTTTCCACAAATGGAGCATTTGTAGGGTCTGTCTCCCGTATGGATGCGCTGATGGGTCATGAGGTGAGAACTGGTTTTGTAGCCCTTGCCACACTCTGTGCACTTGTAGGGTCTCTCTCCTGTGTGAACGCGTTGATGGATCACAAGGTGGGATCTTCTTTTGAAGCCCTTTGAGCACTCAGAGCATTTGAACGGCCTCTCTCCGGTGTGGATGCGCTCATGGATCAGGAGGTTGGAACTGCTTCTGAAGCCCTTCTCACACTCAGGGCACTTGTAGGGTCTGTCTTCTGAGTGGGTGCGCTCATGGTAATCGAGCTGAGAACTGCTCTTGAAGCTCTTGTCGCACTTGTGACACTTGAAGGGTTTGTCTCCCGTGTGGATGCGCTGATGAACAGCAAGGTAGGAACGATCCTTAAAGCCTTTCCCACCCCCATTGCATGGGTTCTGCCCATTCTTCTGGAAGACTTCCTTGCTGCTCAGCTCTTTTGGCTGCTTTTGACCTTTGCCGCAGTCCAGGCTTTCCCTCACTCTCTTTCCTGGATATTTTCCCAGAGGCTTCTTCAAACGCTTCCCCTGCTCCAGGCCTCCTTGGGATTCCCTTCTGGCTTTTCCAAGAGAGAGATCACCCCACGGACTTCCAGGTACACCACTCTCCTGCAGATTCTCCTTTAAATTTGTGATCCCATCACCTGCTGGATGACAGAGGAAATTCAGAACTAGCTTATTGTGCCCAAAACATGCACCAGCTCATCCCACAGGGGCTTTTGCCAACCCCAACCTCCTCCACCACCTCACCTGGGCACACGTCTCCTGCCATGTCCTTCAGGCTGTGTGCATCTGGCATCCAGGGATCTTCCCCTCCTTCAAGCAGGGAGATCACCACAGGTTTAGATGCTTAATTGATAGAAATAGTGGAGATGAAAGCATTTTCTTGATTCTGGCAAAGCTGCTTATGAAATACTCCACTGTGTCCCTTCTTATGAAACCACAACTAGGGCCAGAGTGACACGGGGCCAACACGGACCGCCTTGCTCTGGAATACAGTTGGATCTTCCATCTCTGAAAATTATGCTGGGGCTTTTATTAACAAACATGACACGCACCAATGCAAGGGAAGCATGCAGGGCACTGATCCTCCCCCTCCTGAATGATGCCAGAGTGACAACAGTGCATCTGAGTCTTCTGTCAGAGTGGTAAGCATACAAATGGCTTCTGAAACTCATGCATGAAGCGTTAATCAGTAGGTAATTTTGACATATTTAATCACTGTCCTGCTTGCAAAGACCCATCTGTACAGCCTAAGGTGCCTGGACAAGTAGGAATGGCAGCAAAGCCCTCACCCAGCGAGGCTATGCACTCATACGTCTCCAGCATCACATCCCAGTACAGCGCTCGCTGCGCAGGGTCCAGCAGCGCCCACTCCTCCCTGCTGAAATACACGGCCACCTCTGCAAAGGTCACGGGCTCCTGCAAGCAAAGAGGCTCCTTGCTGCAACCTTCCGTGGCCTGGGGAAACAGCCTGTTGAGCAGAGAAGCCCCAGCCTCAGCAGCTTCTCTCCCCAGCTCACAAACGCTGGGCAAGGGCAGCTCATTCTCCCCTTGCACTCACATCCCTTGCACCTCCGCCTCGCTGCCTGCTTCCCCAAGCCCCTACCTGGGAGGGATGTGCTCTGGCCATTTGCTGCTCTCCTGCAGGCTAGGATGATCACAGGTGAAAGGCAGGCAGCCTGTGGGGACAAGAGGAACAGCAGGCCAGTTCTGAGGGAATGCAGCAACCCTCATCCAACCCAGCCCTTCCCAGCTGTGGCAGGTGAACCCAGCAGCAGCTCAGCACCACACCGCCCTTGGATTGCTGCCCCTACAGCGGGATGAGGAAGAGAACTGGAAGCAAAACAGAACTTGTGTGTTGAAATAATACCTACTGACCTAAACAGGAAAGAGAACAGAAGCAAAAATACAATGAAATAAAAGAAGCATGCATACATAAATATATGCAATGCTGTTGCTCACCATCCACTGACAGACCAATGCCCAGCAAGCCTCAAGCATCCTCTCCCCCCCAACACCTCCCACGGCTGCCTTTTTCTAAAATTTTTTCATCACACTACTTTCTCCCCCTGTTCCTTTTTGGGAAGAAGGTGTGAGTGAGCCAGGTGATGGTGCTTAGCCCTCTGCTGCTGTCCAACCAACACACTCAGGCATCCTCTGTCTCTTGGGATGCAAATGCAAGGGGGAATGCAGAGAGCTTTTGCAGGAAATGGATTGGAGCCCAGTGCCTGAGCCAATGCAGCAGCTTGTGTGTAAAGGGACCTTCAGCTGCAGGCCTGAAAAAAACCTTCGGAGGGGGCTGCACAATGAAGAATGCCTCGTCCTGTGGTTCAGGAGGTAGCAGAAGCCTCAGAACAAGCGAGCAATCAAGCTGACTGCTCACCGAACAACAGGTAGCATTAGAAATGCCACCAGAGGAAGATCTCGCCTGTTGGATCCCCAAAGGGTATTTGGGGACTGGTGGGGTGGGAAATGAAAAATACCGATTTGGAGGCTTTAAATAAGAGTCAAAAAGGAGGTGGGGGTTTTCATAACATCCTGGAATCCTTATGTGCAGAGGTGTGGAGCAGGGCCATTTCATGTCTTGGCATGCATACGTTGTTCTTCAAAAGTAATGCCT